GGCAATATAGATATGTCTACATAAACGAATGACACACATCATACCACACCATGAAAAGGCCAGCCTCGTGATCAGCTGCGAACGAGGTGCTTTTAATTATGCGCGCGTTACATTCGCTATCATGGACAATCCCTGAGGGCAGCGGCATGTCCCACAGAGAGCTGCTACGCTGCACTGCCAGCGCTGTGACAAGGCACGCGAGCAGTGAAACAGACCACGGCAGGCGCAGGCACTGCCGTACGGCGTAAGCGTATCCCTTCAGACATCTGTGACGCTTTCCGCCGCCCCGCGTCCTGCAAAATGGACCACTACGTGGCCACTGGGACCGCGCCTGTCTTCGCTTTGCGGCAGATACCATACAACGCTCCAGTGCGAGTTGCACGCCGGCTTCAGCGTGGGGAGGGTCGGGCTGTCCGGCTCAGTGCTGGAATATGGTGGCGTCGTCGGTGTTGTCCTCCGGCTCCTGACTCTCCTCGCGTCTGTCGCGCTCCTCCTGCTCGCTCAGCACCTGGGCGTAGCCCATGTCGCCGCGCCGCTCCCGCACCAGGCACACCCTGGAACGGCCGCCGCCTGGCTCAGCGGCCACGCAGCGGTCCTGGGCCGGCGCGGCCGCGGCAGCGCTCAGGTGGCAGGTGTGTACCGCGACACAACGGCGCGGCGCCGACGAACATCAGCGTCCCAGCGAGGAAACTCAGGACCAACCAGAGATTCCAGACCAGAAGCTTCATAAACTTGTTTTTAAGGCTTTGGTGATCATCTGATAACACCAAGAGCGTCCTGTTTGTTTATAGGGTAGTCCCGTTGTTAATTCGGGCTTAGAGACGCATCGACAGCCGCAGCCATTTGTGTCCAGGATGGATGTGTAGATTTATGTCGTGTTATGTAATATAAAGTCACTCTTGTAGCTTTTCCGGATCCTGTCCAAAAAGCTCAATCTGTGCAGAATGAACAGTAGCAACACGCGGAGCGAAAATCCCACGCAGTTCATGGCAAGTCAGCACGCTAGGGTCCTTTCAATCAGGGTCGTGCGGCGTTACATAGCGCAACCCAGTCCTCTAACCAGTGCACATGGCTAGTCACATACGACGGAGGTCAAAAATATTCAAAGCAACAACAGCGATGAAACAAATGAGCACCTAGGACAATGGTGACAACAGAACGGGGGCACAAACTACATTTTACCAGTTACCATTTGTGTGATCTGCAGTTACTCTCAAACATTCTAGATATCAAGTACGACCTCGGTGATATATCGTTACCTGCTCTCAGTACATCCATAGTCCACAGCGACTGATAACTCACTCTTCAGTGGCTGAATACCAAATGAGTAAAGCAGCGTTGATGCCTTGAGATCTCCCACTATTTCCCTACATGGTCTGCCACCTTGGCTTAGGATAATTTCAGCTTGACAAAGGACCCCACCATTTTTTTATGGCTTGGGATTTGCAACTAGACCTTGAGGATCCTTTTGGAGAATCATTTTTAAAGCCATTTTCAAGAGACAAGTACATAGGTAGGAGTAAAACAAAAATATTGCCACTAGGTCGTCTCACAACTTCAGTTTACAGAGCGGCTGTTTTACCACACGACTAGCCCAGATGGCACACTTACTGTAAGAACAGACCAGATCACTATCAACAGGGAGCCCAGACAGGCTACCTAGAGGGCCAGTCCAGATGGACCCTTTCACACAGAAGCGGTCTACCCCAGCCAGCCGGGCACATCGGCCTACAGTAAGACCTACCATGAATCGGTCTACAAACGGGCCAGCCGAGCCCACCGGACCGACACAGCAGGACCAGCCAAGACTGAGCGTTTGCTGAGCCTGATCCGCTCGGCGGTGTGAGCCCAGTCAGCACTTATAGCAGGACCAGCAGGGCGGCGCGAGCACAGTCAGCACTTACAGCAGGACCAGCAGGGCGGCGCGAGCCCAGCCAGCACTTACAGCAGGACCAGCAGGGCGGCGCGAGCCCAGTCAGCACTTACAGCAGGACCAGCAGGGCGGCGCGAGCCCAGTCAGCACTTACAGCAGGACCAGCAGGGCGGCGCGAGCCCAGTCAGCACTTACAGCAGGACCAGCAGGGCGGGCGACGTGACTCCAGCGGCGATCAGCCAGACGACGCCCGGCCCGCGGTCCAGCACGGCGTTGTAAAGCAGCAGGAAGGCAGACGCCGTCGCCATCGCGCAGATCGACTCCACCGCCGCCAGGAACGAGAACACCACGCCTGCGGACCACACGCCGTCGTGTGCGCGTGTGCGAGCACGGTGCCTCGGTGTACAGCGTAGAGCTTGTTGTAAGGCCGGGAGTACGTACCCACGGACACCAGCGCTACACGTGTGTAGGCGGGCGCCTCCTCGCTGCAACACCTACGCACGCTCAGCGAGTAAACATACACACGCACGCACATCGATCGATCGGGTCTACATTACATAGCTCCACCCTGGACACGTTGCTCAACCCCCCCCCCCCCCCTCTCCCTGTTCACAGCGTCTAGCTCCACTCTGGCTACGGTTCCCAGCTCTCTCATGACCCACCTATCTAGCCCCAACCTGGTCGCATTGCGCAGTCCCACCACCCCTCCTCGCGGGTACATTACCTAGCTCCTCCTTGGCCACGTTCTTGGAGATGATGGAGCGCAGCACGACGGTCACCAGGGAGCCGGGGAGGCCGATCATGGTCACTGAAAAGGAGCAGCCGCACTCAAAGGAACGCGTAATGCGGGACGACCAAAAGTCAAACTGACCAAACGTGCGATTTTTCACCCCAAATATAAACTTTGAAGCTAAAGCCAAACTCGTCCGCCCGTAACTGGACTGTACTTTCACGTTATACACTGTCTCAGCTAGCGTTTTGGCGCAAAGTTGAACTGCTCCACCGTTGCATCCTAAGGCGGTGGAGCGTCGAAACTGGTTGCACGACGGTGATTCCTCAACAGCGATTTTCTGTTCCGTGACAAATGTTTTCGTATTGCGAAAATGCAACCAAACCCGCGCAAACCAATACGCTGAGGCTAAGTCATCCTTCTAAATAGATTGGTAGTCAGTTTTTCACGGCAAAATGCTACCGACCAATTGGTTTCGTGCGGCGTAAAACCCAACGTGATACCCAAAATGTCCGACAACAATCACAAAAAAATATTGTGCTTCCCTCTCCAGATCCGTCTCAACCAAAACGGCACCGCTACGCGATTAGCTTTAAAGATTGAATTTGCTCAACAACGGAGACTTCTGAACACTTTTGTTCCACCATGAACCACAGATGCTACGCTCGAGATTCCATCGAGCCCACCCACTAAAGGTGCGAGCCAAGGTGGCTTGCAAGCATTTTAAAAAATCTGCCACTGGAGTTTTTGTTGGAGTCGATCGATAAATGGGATCACTTGATGCGCCAATTGAGAAAAATAAGTGGCCAAAAATAAATAACTTGCTTCTATATGTCCTCAGTATAATTACTTACTGCACGCTTGCAAAAGCTAAAATTGCGGCGTTGAGCCACCCTTTAACCATGGTAACTACACGAGGTGATTGTTTGAAGACGCCCATCAGTTTTGAATACTTAGCGTCCAAATTTCAATGACATTTCTCAGCATCCGCCCAGATTAGCAGTCAAATGTACGATGGCATGAGCTGTCTTTCAAGTCAATAATGTCGCTTTACGAAACACACGCCTTCGCCCCCCCCCCCAAAGTCAGAATTTGATTTACTGGTGTCGTACGTGTTTACGTTAGGCTAAACGAGGACCTAATGTACGTGAGTTTGGTAAAACCACGTCGCAGCCGGTAAAACCACGTCGCACAATGGCTGTCTTGCTGAGCGCGCTTTGGGAATAGCTGTTTCTGACCTAGTGGTATTAGTATATCGTGGTCTCATCCATTTGGATTGTGACGCACTTGCATCTCTATTTGTCGTGCATATGCTTCCTAGGATGTGCTTACTTAGCAGGTTATGACGGCAAGCTTTAATGACCGACAGGCAGCTTTAGTGGCCGCCACGGCGGAAGACCCGGACAGCGGGCAAGCAAAGCAATGTCCAGCCAGTCCCGATAACAATATGGGGGGCGGCCCACGCCGGCCACGTCACGCTGTTTGGGAGCGGCTCGTGCAGTTGAAAGTACGCCGTCCTCGAAAACAAACAGCCAGAGACTGACGATGGATGAGAACGCTCTGCGTGTACTTCCACTTTCCGACAGTATACGAGGATATGATTCGCATGTCCCATGGCTTTTGGGTGGATTTTGTTGCTTTTAGTATGGATTATGGATGTGAAGCAGAGCTTTAGCTCTGCTTCAGGATAAAGCGTAGATGGTTTTATCGATCGGTGCGTGCCATTTATTCGCTTCGCCAATCCCTCACGGACCGCAATTTTTGTACCACCACCATTATTTGCACCATTCCTTCGCAGCGCAGAGAAAAAGATTGGTCAAGCCCACTACCAGCCGATGGCAGCCCAGCTCAGCTGACCGCCGCGCGCAGGCCAAGCCTGCGCTGGCAGCGCCGACAACCGGCGGCGGCGCTGCCACTCACCGCCATAGAAGAGGCCAGTGGTGGTGACGACGCCGCGCAGGCCAGGCCCGGCAGCGCCGACAACCGGCGGCGGCGCTGGCCACTTCACCGCCATAGAAGAGGCCAGTGGGTGGTGACGACGCTGCGCAGGCCCAGGCCCCGGCGCGCCGACAACCGGCGGCGGCGCTGCCACTCACCGCCATAGAAGAGGCCAGTGGTGGTGACGACGCGCGCGCAGCGCCAGCCCCACGATCCGGAGCACCTCGCAACGAGGCCGATCAACCGAGTCGCCACGCCCAGCACGTTAGCTGAGCACGGGCAGCACGACCAGGTTGTCTGCGGGGCAGGGCGGGCGTCAGTCAGCGGCCGCCCGGCGCCAGTGATGACGGTACAACAGCGGGTCATCCCGCCCAGAGCGGCTCGCATGGGGTCAGAAGCGCGGCGGCGTTACTCACAGACCAATGCAGACTAGGAGCACGATCGAGGCGTAGGTCGTGTAAGCCTGGTAGTCCCAGTCCAGCACTCGCTTCACGTACGGAAGAAGTGATGCTCGACTCGCCTGAAAGGAAGGGTCAACGCCCTCTCGTTACTGATGGCCTCTGCTCGCCCGTGAAACGCTCCGGCGCCGTCCGTGTTTTATACCGCTGTGTTACAAACAATCAGATTCGTGACCAACATCGATAGTCGATGGGTTAACGTTAACTTGACAAGGGAAATGAACGAGCATAAACATCCTGGTTGTCAATGACTTTGCAATCAATTATTGTAATCTACTGCAGGTTTATATAGGAAGGTGGTCTTGCCAGGGACGTCGGAAGTTATTATTTTGATATATACCCGTACCATGTATGGATTAAAAGCACCATTACAGACATCTAATGAGCATACTGATGTGAACTATCGGCTACCAGCCACTGTTAAACAAACCAAACTATGCGCAATGTTGTTTGATTCAGTTGCCAACGGCTTGTAGCCAGAAATTTCCACCACCACTCTTTGATATGCTATGATTTCAAGGTAAGGAAAAAATGTTAAGCATTACAACCTTTTCACTGAATCATGGATGAATCAATAGAGGACAAGCCGTAAAAGAGCGTAATTCAGGGGCACACATCCAGGGGCACACACAAATAGAGTCACGTAACACATTCAGAAGACAGCACAAACAGCGCAGCCCCAACGGTCTGCGGTCCCACGATGCAATGACTGCTCATCTCAAGCGCCAGGGGTGTAATTTCCCACTGAGTTGGGGCATTTATTGTGTTATTGTTCGTATTCCGCTGGGCCGCCACGGCGCGCACCGTTCAGCGTCATCTCGTGTGCGATGAAGCCGAGCATGGCCAGCAGGATGGTGGAGCGGTTGTAGCCGTGACGCCGCCGGAAGCACGTGTGCACGATCCGCCGCACGTTCCGCTTGCTCACCACCTGCGGCCGGGGAGGGACGAAGCCGCTGAGCTACCGAGACCGACAGGTGACACACAGCCAGCAGCCGGGGAGGGACGGACGCGGCCGCTGAGCCACTGAGACCGACAGGTGACACACAGCCAGCGGCCGGGGTTTGACACGATGCACGCAAGGTCAGGGATCTCTTCCCCTCGCTTCGCAATCAGGCCATTTCCGTTATTGGGCATCAGAGACTGCGCTCCACAGTTTAATTGCGCCGTTTCGGGAGCCCCTGTGGCTATCCCAGTACTGTGGCGAGACCAGGCCACTGTGCATACTGTCCGCAGTCGACGGAGACGGTACGGCCAGCCGGCCGGCGGTGCAGCGGGTGTGGGAGCGGGCCGGCCCGGGCGTGAGGGGAGCGACCGGCCTGCGAGGCTCGGGGTGGGGGGGGGGGGGGGGGTGGGGGAGACGAAGCGTGACGTGACGTGACGTGACGTACCGAGCCGGCTGCGGCCGCAGACAAGGCCAGCTGCTGGGGCGAGCGTGACTCGGGCACCAGCAGCGCGCCGTACAGCAGCACCAGCAGCATCAGACCGCCGGACGCGCAGTACAGCGGCACGTACCTGGCGGCGGCGCACGCGTGATACAGCGCAGACCCACCCACACCCGCGTCCACCTGCGCACACACACACACACACAAACACACGCTCAACGTAACCAACGCCACTTGATGTATCGGTTACTGGCATACCGCCCACGGTCGCCCACGCCGGCCGACGGTGAGTGACAGCCGACCATGGTACGCGGCCACGTCGAGCATTCCGCCTTGGCGTAATCATTTCGAGTTAATTAATGTCCTGTACTACGTAGCGCACCCTATAATAGCATTCAGCAATTGTTTTCAACCATTCCCTGAATGAGATATTTGAATGGCCTGGTTATGACTAATACTGACACTTGATATTGTTCGCGAGTAGAGACACACGGCGTTTCAGCAATCGACATTACAATTTGTACCGGCTAATTGCACACATTAGACGCATCATGCGTCCCGTTCAAAGGCAAGACCAAAGCCTCCACATGACCGAGCCTGTCGCGGCTCCTCCCGCTTTGTCACCTTCGGCGCATGAGCCACTCTAGACTACGGGGAGCCACCTGCGGAGAGCGGCCGGCGGGGAACGGCCGGTGGGGAGCGGCCGGCAGAGAGCGGCCGGCGGGAAACGGCCGGCAGAGAGCGGCCGGCGGGGGGCGGCCGGCGGGGAACGGCCGGCGGGGAGCGGCCGGCGGGGAACGGCCGGCGGGGGGCGGCCGGCGGGGAACGGCCGGCGGGGAACGGCCGGCGGGGAACGGCCGGTGGGGAGCGGCCGGCGGGGAGCGGCCGGCGGGAAGCGGCCGGCGGGGAACGGCCGGCGGGGAGCGGCCGGCGAGGAGTGGCCGGCGGGGAGCGGCTGGGGAGCGGCTGGGGAGCGGTTGAGGAACGGCCGGCGGGGAGTGGCCGGCGGGGAGCGGCTGGGGAGCGGCCGGCGGGGAGTGGCCGGCGGGGAGTGGCCGGCGGGGAGCGGCTGGGGAGCGGCCGGCGAGGAGTGGTCGGCGGGGAGCGGCTGGGGAGCGGCTGGGGAGTGGCCGGCGGGGGGCGGCCGGGGAGCGGCTGGGGAGCGGCCGGCGGGAAGCGGCCGGGGAGCGGCCGGCGAGGAGTGGCCGGCGGGGAGCGGCTGGGGAGCGGCCGGTGAGGAGTGCCCGGCAGGGAGCGGCTGGGGAGCGGCCGGCGAGGAGCGGCCGGCAGGGAGCGGCCGGGGAGCGGCTGGGGAGCGGCCGGCGGGGAGCGGCTGGGGAGCGGTCGGCGGGGAGCGGTCGGCGAGGAGCGGCCGGAGGGGAGTGGCCGGCGGGGAGTGGCCCGCAGCCCGGCGACTGACCCGACGCGCTGCACGGCGGCGCCAGACGTCACAAAGCCGACGGCCAACGGCGCCAGGAAACACACATCCAGTACGCCCAGCCGGGCCGTCCGATCCCGCTGTCCGGTGATGTCGCTCAGGTAGCTGAAGGACGCCATCAGGAACACCGTGGTGCCGCCGGTCAGCGCTGCGGCACGGGCGGCGGTGACGCGTCGCCAGCTAGAGCGCCGACACCACCACAGAGCTGGGCAGCGTCATAGCAGCGGACCAGCGACAGGCCACGGCCCGATCGGGAGCTGGGACAGGCCGGCAGGGACGGGAATCCTACAGACACACGCCGTCCGCTCGCAAGCGGCTGACATCAGCTAAAGAAAACATCACAGGTAAAAACTCGCCGGCAAACACCAGCCCATGAAAACATCACAGGCAAAGACCCACCGGCTAGCACCAACTTAAGAAAACATGACAGGTAAAAACTCAGCACACGTGTGACGCGTCTCCCCCTCTCACTCCGGACCGGGAAGTACTGCAGAGCACCCACGGCCCAAACGTCGCTGATACAAATTCTCGGGTGATAACACCCTCAGCCCCTAACCGACACGTCAGCCTCAGCGCACTATTCTGACCTTGTGGTATGCTGGCGAACAGCAGGTACTGCGCTGGTATGTTCTTCACAACCGAAAACGCGATGTACACGCCGCAGGTGAGAATCGAGCCGGCGATGGGCAGCAGGAGCGGCAGCTTGCGGCCGTGGCAGTCGCTCCAGGAGCCCATGAAGAGCGTGAACAGCACGCTCGGCAGCACCTCGATCAGCTGGCGGCACGGGAGGAGTCGCCTTGGCCACGGTGCTTCTGACACAGGCAGACTGTGGGGCGTGCTCGGATGGGTCTGGACAACGGCACACGACAGGGGAAGGCATCTTCCATACTGTCACGAGGGCTGCAATATCAAGGGTTCAGCTGTCGCCCACGCCCCCTGTAGCGGTATGCATGCCGAATTTAGGCCGTGCGAGGGACCCTACCACTGATTGCCAATATTCCCCAGGAGATTGGAGCCGGAAAGTAAGAGCCCAGCCTGTGCACAGCGTCCATATTCGGACTACGAGAGCCAAGCATTCGGTCCAACCCACAGAACAGTCTGATGCCTAAAAACGCAGTAAGTCTAACATTATTCATCAAACACACAAGACTACCACAACAAAGGAGCGTGTCTTGATACCGCGGGTGCCGCGGCACACGGACGACAATGGCAACGAGGGCAGAGGCAGCCAAGCCACCGCAAGCCACCAAGCTGCGGCACCAAACTGGCTGCATTCCGTCTTACGCTGGTGCTGCCCAACGACTAATGCAAAGTCGGGAACACGCCACGTAACCAAGCCCTGACGAATCTGCGCTGGCCGACCGCTGGCTGACAAACGACAGCCGGTACCGCAGAACCCTGCTAGATCTCGACAGACGCGCGTCACGCCGTCCCGAACCCAGATGGCAGACCCCCCCCCCCCCCCCCCCCCACACACACACTGCACGGGAGATCGCGAGCAGGCCCCAGCCAGTCATAGACCAGTGCGCATTACATGCAGCGGAACCGGAGCCGTCGGCCCCATGATAGCATCCTGTCCGGCTTACATAATCAGCGTCCGGTGCAGAAGTCCTTGGACCGCGCGGCCACCAAAGCGATGAGTTTACCCAAGGATGGGACGTGCACACGTGCCGGTGTCTCCGTCCCCGGCATGCAGGCCCGGGTGTCTCCGGCCCCGGCATGCAGGCCCGGGTGTCTCCGGCCCCGGCATGCAGGCCCGGGTGTCTCCGTCCCCGGCATGCAGGCCCGGGTGTCTCCGGCCCCGGCATGCAGGCCCGGGTGTCTCCGGCCCCGGCATGCAGGCCCGGGTGTCTCCGTCCCCGGCATGCAGGCCCGGGTGTCTCCGGCCCCGGCATGCAGGCCCGGGTGTCTCCGGCCCCGGCATGCAGGCCCGGGTGTCTCCGGCCCCGGCATGCAGGCCCGGGTGTCTCCGTCCCCGGCATGCAGGCCCGGGTGTCTCCGGCCCCGGCATGCAGGCCCGGGTGTCTCCGGCCCCGGCATGCAGGCCCGGGTGCCTCCGGCCCCGGCATGCAGGCCCGGGTGTCTCCGGCCCCGGCATGCAGGCCCGGGTGTCTCCGGCCCCGGCCGCGGGAGCGCGGGCGCGCGGTCGCAACATGGCTAGGAGGCTGGGACTGGGGCGGGCCGCGACGATCAGCGCAAAGCCTAGCGCAAATGCATGCATATCCTTTGAGACTGGGCAGTGGAGCCTTTGCACCAACGGCAAACAGGGAGGTTTGTGTTATGGCGAACAGGTTGTTCCAGCAAAACAATTAGTTGTCAACACTTTTCGATGGTGCCATACATGGAAGGATATTGCGTTAAAACACCAAGAGGCGAATGTCTCAAAATGGCTTTTTAGAGAGATAGCAAGGCGATCCCTGGTTCATGCAGATCGGTAATGGGCCTCACAGAACGTACCCACAGTGACCCATTGTGTTCGTACGCATTCGGCCACACAAGAGGCGTTCTGTCGTGCGTTCTCAAGCCCAAAACAACAAAGGTGCGTACGTTTGACAGCAAACACAGCATGCCATTCAGTCGCAAGGTACGAATCACGCAGTGGGTACGTCCTTTCATCACAAAGGTACAATAAAATCCGTTCAGCATATCCCGAACATGTCACACACACACGCCTGCACGGATCCCCAAACAGGTCATGCACAGCATGGACTCACGCTTCTATAGAGAACGAATTTGTTGGCTAGTCGCTGAACATCATTTTCCTGGGCCAGGTACTGATGATTTGTAATATTGGCGCATATGCTGGAGTTGAATTCTAGGTTGACTGTGCACACACGGTCCATGATGAGATTCTGAAACAGGACAGGCAGAGGTGAGTGGCGCACGGCCTCTGACCGATTATGAACTGAACTCCAGGATTGCACACGAGCGCAAATGACACGCTGTCGTCATTGGGGTTCCACGACGCGCTCAGCAGCTCAGGCCATGTCGCGTCACCCGCCTCTCACCTGGTAAGAAGGACGAGCATCGCGGGAATCGAATCCCGTACCTCTGGTTTTCCAAACACAGGGTCAAGTTTAGTACACTTATAGAAACGGAACATGTGCAAGTTTATCCAGCATGAAACAAGCGACATGCGGGCCCGTCAATATTACACGATACATTAGTGGTGCGCGTCATTCTACTGAAGCTCACTTCCATCTTCTCTGACTTCTCCGACGACCTTACAGCAATCTCTCGAGTGATGATGTGGTCTCGTCTCGCGCGCGATAGCTCTCTTACGTGCCCTTTACAGTTTTCCCCACGCCCTCAACCTTTCAGGAAACCCCGCAAGCTGAAGTCCAGAGAGTTAAATCTGATAATTGAGCAGGCCTGGGGTACGCTGTCTTCCGACTGACACCGGGTCTGGAACATCTCTTACGCAGTGTAGCGGGTGGCAGCTTCGGCCCCGTGGGGGGGGGGGGGGTAGCTTGCAACCGGACCAACGGCCAAACTCAGTTTAGATTACCCCTCCTCCCAAGAGTATGTATTTTGTCCTTTTTCGTGATCATCGCCTCTCCTTGCATAAAAAGGTTGTATGCCAGAACTTCACTTGCTCTGGTAATGCCCCGCTGTTTCATCTAAAATGCGTGCATTTCGTACTCAAGTATGTACCTTTAGGAATTTTCAGGCCTCTTCGGCGCATGTACACACATACGTAGTGGCACATGGCATATATCGTTCTTTCATATGGTATTCGCGTTTACCACGAAGGCGGCATTGTAAGGTACACTTGTAAGCGACGTAATTTCTTGCAGCTCGTTTCTGGCACATCACCCAAACATGGCTCAAGGCTAAGTAAATGAGCTCTTCAAGACTATCGCATGCGCACCAGAGCAATATCTCGAGCGCGAGCCAACAAAGCTGCTTCGGCTGTCCACCACGCCGACACATAATCTGATTATGTGAAACCGAACCTTCAGCATAACAGGCGGGATTGTTTTGCCAGAGCCACGGGTGCAGCAATTCAGTGGCATGCCCAGTGAGACTACGCATGGTGCACAGAGAAGAACCTCAGTGGACATCAAGCTGAGAGTCGCTTGATTGAAACACCACAAACTGGGCGCCTACAGCCTACTAAAGTAAGCAGTGTTAAATCAGAGTTACACCTGTGACATTTTGCCATATCCTCTTAATACAAAACACACGCAGGAAGCAAAACCAGACAAAAGATTGTACTTGAACGCTACCAAATTTAGAAGGAGAATGCTATCTTCCTGTACATATTCTTTATTTTTCGACCACACGCGTCCGATTTTGTCGGTGTTGCCAGTTTTCTCGAAATCCTTCTGAATACCTAACAATTTCAATTTGACGTAGCTGCTCCTGCGGGAGAAATCTTACTAGACTCCCTGCTTACCACCATGAAAATACATTTCACTCGCCTTCCTTTTTTAACGGGTGTGTTCCGTATTGCTTTCAACGCACTAGAATGTCAAAATATTTGTGAGATAAATGGTATGAAAGCCTAAAACATTCTGCTTATAGAAAAACATGTGCAAACATGAGGCCAATTTCTCGCGAATTTAGCGAAACGTTACAACATGACACTGATTTCTCCCTTATGGCTTTTACCACAGCGATTCTTTTCGAAGTACAATTTGGGTTTCTAAAACGGAACGTCATGTGGTCTATAGTGACGCATTGGTTCAAGCTTCGACCCACGCACTACTCGGTAACTGGCCTTACCGCCCGCCGTGTCATTTATAAACGTCCATTTGTACTGACCTCATCCATACCAGTGGAGGTGTCACTTTCAAGCCCGCTGGCCCGCAATGTGCGAATTATAGCAGCTCAAAAGTGGGGACATTGAAAAGTGATGCTTCTAACTTGTGACAGCTGACAACGGCACTCAGCGGATTCTGTCGTCATGACGACGGCGGTCGCGCCAACTGCAGTTGTTGCGGACTCGGGATACATTCTGGGGCCACCATGAAAGGAAGAAGTGTAGTACTTGTGCAAAACGTTCACAATGTAATTTGGGCTAGCAAAAATCAAAATGTATACCGTTGTTATATCTCGATGGTGCTGCAGTGACACTAGCCAGTGCCATTAATAGACGCAAATAGTCCTGCGGTTTCACCAGAACATTTTTGGAAACGTGTCCCAAAGCCAGGACCCTCCTTTAAGGACTACCATTACTGAAAAATCTTAAGATTTACACATAGCTTGTCGCAGACAGCTCTCAGCGGCGGCCCACGCTCCAACGATTAAGTTCTTTGAAGTGGGGTGAGATAGATTATTTAAGATTCTGCACGCTGCAGCACCAATTCGTAAATAGTGTTAGCGCAGCGCTTCACGCAGTGGCCGAAATTTCCTGGACAAAACAGTTCCTTCCGTCGCTACTACCAAGCCAAACCCGGGTCATATTTGACGCATGTAGGGTGGCGCCATCTTGCTGAAATCCGGCACTATCCGGATGAGACGAGGTCCCTCTTCCGCCGAGTCCAGAACTTGTCTAGTTTTTGCGCGTTGCTTCTTCGTGATAATGACCATGTGCCGTCCGTTTTTATGGCCTAAGAGGGCTAACGATCTCTCTGGCACCCATGACGCATCAGGCAGTCACATTGAAGCTGCGCAGAGGACCAACAGCTAGCGCGTCCAAGTCCTGAACTTTTCAGGAACTCTGGGTCGACGCGACCTTTGCTAGAAAAAAAACTGTTTACAGCTCGTTGTCAGCTAAAGCCAGCGTCTGGTGAGCAGTGATGTTGCACGGGATCAATTTGATTGTGTACTGACGAATAAGTCATACTGAAAAGAAGCTTATTTGGACCTCGCAAACGATTTTCTGGACGGGCTTGAATTTTTTTTTTAATTTGAAGTTTTATTGTTTAAAGCCGACATCACCTTTTTCATACGTTCCGGGTCATTGCTGCCACGTTTTCGGTCCCTGCCCGTTGAATACGTTGTACTGAAGACTCATCCCCGGGGATTTCTGGACCAGCTGAAGGATTTACTTTCGGCGAGGTGCATCCCGGGTTTTGTGCAGCGTTCGAAAGAGACGCCGCGTCCAAACAATGGCCTTTGTTGTCCAGTATTAACAGACAGGTTGAATTTTTGCTTTGTGCTTAGCAGCACCATGGCTGCTTCCAGGGGTGTCGTTTCCTACTCGTTTGGGAGGGGGGAGGGGGCGTCAGCCGCCAAACAGGCTCCAGCCCCCAAATTTGGAAGAAAGTGGGCCAAATCCGGGGAGTCCTTTTTATTGGCGTATTTGGGAGGGGAGGTTGGGTCATTTTTCACTGCTGAGCTCGTCCCTCGACTCATTTTGTGAAGCTACACCCCTGGCTGCTTCCGATAAAACAATACTGGACCATCCTCCAGCGGCCAAGCTTTTCATTACCATAATTTTCCCAGAGTTGAACAGCCATGCCTACTTTCCTGATAGGAACAAGATGTGACATTCAGTTTAAACACAACATTTAGATATATTAACTGCATGATAGACTTCTTACATATTCCAGGGGATTTCACAGCTTATTAACAGCTTTAACAACATGGTTGCCCTGCTAGAACAAGTTCCCTGATACCAGCTACTGTCCTGCAAACAATGCAATACAAACATTACTCCAGAATTAGTTTTGCAATTGTCCTTATTAGCTATTTCTCGATAATCCTTTGTTAAAACAACTTATTTTTAAATGCAAGCGTACTTCTTTTTTTCGAATCAACCCCCTATAAAAGGTTGCGTGACACATGCCATTGCCAGCGCATGCCACTGCATATAACCTTGAGGCACAGAGACAAACACAGTGAACCAGGCCGAGTGGCAGGCCCGAGGTTTTGACGACAAGGTAAAAGCATAACATTCACAGCTTGAACTTGCATTCAGCGGCATGTAAACGCATCACACAGGCAGCAACGAACTTCGTGCTGAATTGAGTCATTGGCCCAACATACCGTGCTATGTGGCGAGCCCCCCTGTGACAGGGTGGTTGAAGGAGGAAATCAGGCACAAGGCCCCAGACATTACCTGTGACGTCGCCATGATGAGGGTGACGGATAGCGCGTAGGCGAACACGAGCGGTTCGAGCCGGTAAGAGGCCAGGCAGGCGGCCAGCCGCCACGCCTGGCCCATCACCCGCGTGTTGTCGGCGTCGCCGCCCTCCGGCATCGCCATGCCGCTCGCGGTGACCGGGACACACGATGTCCAGTCCTGCCGTCGCTGTCCGCCGCTCGTGGTGACCGGGACACACGCTGTCTGCTCCTGCCGTCGCCGCCCGCCGCTCGCGGTGACCGGGACACACGCTGTCCAGTCCTGCCGTCGCCGTCCGCCGCTCGCGGTGACCGGGACAGCCGCTGCCCGCGGTACCTGGTTCAGGGCAGCAGCCTAGCGGCCCTGCGCAGCTGCGGCCGACGACTGACGGGCCGACGGCTCAGCGGCACGGCTGGCGGCACAAAAACGAGACCCGTCTCTCCCACCGTCCGGTGTTGGCGGCGCGCCAACAGCTGGTGCTGGCGCTCAAGCCGGATTAACCTTGGCCAGCGCGCGTGGGCTGTGTGACCTTGGATACGGGCACTTCACAGTCGAGAACGCGATGATAACAAAGCCCAGTCCCGTCACTAATTTAACGTTTTCCTGTCACACGGCTTTTTGTACTTTACTCTGCTAGATTGCCCGAATGTGTGGTGAAAATAGATTATGCATCATGGAGTGAATTTGTTAGTAGGAAATCAGCGCATATGAGAGAGTATTATAAATGGCCACGTGACGGGAAAGCCGCCAATCAGTTTGGCTTAGGCTCAAGGAGTGCTGCAGGCCTGCAGCGAGTTTGTTTTATAAGCTGCTGACACGTCGACGACCCATCCATGCTGATACATAATGATCCGCACGAACAGAGTGACACAGTTTAAGGGAGCCGTGTGAAGCTTGCTAGGGAACACAACCATTCATGGTAGATATACCATTCCATTCAGGGAAGGATAACAACCATTCAGGGAGGGAGATAAAACAGCTTTGTGAACACAGGCAGGACACATTACTAGCGAAAAACTGTGTTGACATATGGTAGGCTGATCCAAGGCCTGGGTACATTGAACCGCTTTTAAGGACGGCTGGTGCCACCTGTCCAGGCCCTAGTTGCTGATTCTCATTTTTTACTTTGCGGCTGACTTTATTATTTTGATCCTGATCTTGTGACATTTTGGGATTTTGGCAGTTACAGTTTCTGGTATGTTAGGTTTGAAATCGGGTTTATCAAACGACTGAAAAAAATTTAAAAGGACCCCTTAATGCCTTTCCTATCCAAGAGCACCGACAGATTAGAAGAGACGCAAACACATGCACATAAACATAATAACGACAATACGGACACATAATTCCATCCAACAACACAGGTAAGACGTTGCATTTATGGTGGACATTAGCAACCAAATAAGGGTCTGCTTTTCCTCACTTTGGAGACGTCCCTATGCGGTTTAAGTGATAGGGGGAGGGCATAAAGATGGCCCACCATGGGAATGCTGTCAGCCTGCACAACAGGAAAGCCTTCCAGGATGAAGATTTTGGGTACTTCGAACATTTGTTAGGCCCTTGAGCATTTTTTTTAGCCCTTTTAACATTTTGAGCCCTTAAGTCTGAGGCCTATTTTGGGGTCTCAGACTTAAGAGTGCTGGAGGGGAGACCTTGCATTCTCGGCAGCCAGTAATGTCTTTGCTTACTGACTGCTCAGTTGTCAGTTTGAGGCAGCATGCTTTGCAGAGTTCAGCCCATTCCGCGAAAACCACCGCACAAGATGCCTTGCTGTCACTGGGGACCAGTAGCCCAGGCAGGGGGGCACAGGGGGCACGTGTCCCCTTCCTCCCGTAGGGTTCCGACGGGCCCTTCGGGGTCCCTCTGAAAATGCGATTAAGGGTCCGATTTGAGGGCCCAAAGAGCTCGGAAAGCCAGCCGAAGGTATCCTTCACTCATTCAGGGGCCCCAGCCTGCAGGGCCGGGCACTCCAATATCAACCAGAGGGCCCTGTGCGCTGATCAGGGCCCACTGAGTCGATAGGGGCCTATTTTTCGGTCAGACTTCACCAGTAAAGCACAGTCGGCTCCGTGGCGGCATGGACCTGAGAGGGACATTTCCCAAGCAGGGGCCGAGCCGGAGCCAGCGATTTGCATTGCTCGGGGCCCACAGCGCCTAACAAGGGCCCTGTAGTGTCAAGAGGCCCCAAGTCAACCAGAGGCAGTGTTCAAGGAGGCTCAAAGAGCCTAGGGAGCCCACGGGTCCGACGATCAAGGACCCGACTGGAGGGTATAAGGGTACAAAGGGCTGGTCGGAGTCTTATTCAGGGGCCTGTGCGAAGACCGACGCGACCTGCGCGCCCGACCCGCGAAGACTGACACTCAAATAACGTTTAGAAGGCCCTTCGCGTCGATCGGGGGCCCCTGAGTTGATATGGGCCTATATGTTGGTCAGGCACTACCAGTACCGCACACTCGGCTCCCTGTCGGTATGGGCCTGAGGGTCCACTTCCCAATCAGCCACAAAACCGGGGCCAGTTATTTACACTGTTCGGGGCCTCTGTATCTGTTAGGGGCCCACAGTGTATAACAGAGGGTCCCGTGCTCACAAGGGGCCCCGCGCCGACCAAACGCAGTGTTTGATGAGACCCGAAGAGGGGGCCCGAACGGCTCGCAGAAACCGATAATCAAAGGCCCGGTTGAAGGGCATAGTGACTCGAAGGACTTGCTGTAGGTCACATAAAGAATCGCGGCCCGTAGGGTAGTGACCTGAAACATCAGTCAAAGCTCCTCTAGCATCGTTTGAGGAATCCCTACGACAATGCGGGTGTCTAAGTCGGTCAGGGACCATGAACATCGGACAGTCGGCTCCATGTCCGTCTAAGCCGCTGAGACCCATAACCCACCCAAGCAGACAAGGCCCGATTCCGCGATTTGAAACGTTCAGGGTCCCTGACACAATGAGGGGCTCCTTGGTCCGTAAGGGGCCACAGCGCCGAACAGAGGTCCTGTGGTGGCAACTGGTCCCGGGTCGGAGCGGTGTTTGAGGGGGCCCGAAGAGGGGCCGAAGGCCCTCTCGATACCAAAGATCAGGGGCCTGATGGGACGGCTGAAGGATCCGAAGGGCTGGCTGTAGGTCACATTAAAGTTCCCCGCGCACAGGGCCGTGATTTCCATTGTCAGTAAGATGATCTCTTGCACCCATAGGGATCCCTGAGACAGAGCGCTCCTCTATTTCGAACAGAGACATCGAACAACGAACAGCCGGTTCCGTGCTAATCTGCGCTCTGGGGGCCCATTTCCCAAGCAGGGACAAGGCCGGACCCGCGATTTAAATGGTCGGGCTGCTGTAATGTTCAGGAGCCTACAGTGCCCAACAGAGTATTCTGCGCCCATAAGGTGCTCCGATTCGGTCACGGGAAGACTTGCACACCAGGGACGGCGACAGGAGCCCGAATGACAGAGGGTCTCTTGCGTTGGTCGGGGCCCTCTGACAATTGAAGGAAACACAAGAATTTATGATGAGTACTCACACTGAGGCAACAGAGGAGTCATTTGCCAGCCAGGGCCCCCAGTACCGAGCGGTGGGCGCTCCAACTCTATTCCAGTATGGGCCCGTTAAACCCGGCTGGAGCTTAGGCCCAACTGTGCCAATTATTTGACCACCTGCGGCGAGCAGGGATGTTGTTGCACTAATGACGGTTCAAGCGTCGATCCGGGGTCAACTGCGCGGGTCAGAAGGCCTCCCGCGTCAGGGAGCGGACCAGTAAGATATGATGTATCCCTCTGAGGTCTGAGGGCCTCCGGATCGGCCAGGGGATACCGCCCTGTGTCGCCAGAATGACGGCCGGAACACACACCGCGGTGAGATAGAATGGCCCGGCAGTATTTGACCGGGAAAAACGATGTGCCCTTAGTGCACTTAAGATGGTACCTTTACCAGGAAGAAATAAGAGATAATTAATATAAGAGATAAAATAAGATAAGAGATAATTGAAGAGACCCCTTTTGGGTCTAATGGGTCGAAATGAGTCCAAAACGCACAAGGCCATCCCGTGTTTCCCCGAGTACCTTCACTATTTTGCAGAATCAGCCAGTGAAGCAAATACCTCAAAAGGTTTTAGCCTGCACGCCGGGTGCCGCCAGTGTTGTGAACACGCCTACGCTAACCACTGCACGTCTCGAAACCATAGGTGCGGGGTTCGATTCCCCACAGTGCCCGCGCTTCCCACCAGGGTGAGAGCCTGGCGGCGCTACATAGCTCCAGCAGCTCAGGGCGTCGTACAGCCCCCGTGACCCGCCCGTAACTCTGAAAGGACAACGATTGTTTGAGTCGCACTTTTCGCAAAACCGAACGGCGTTGGCCGCTGCAAGTAACGTCTGGGGGCGGGCGCCGAGCGCGCAACAATGAACATTGTAAAATAAGGTTCCTTAACGTCGTTCAAAATGAATTCGTACAGTTCAAAGGTTACGCTGAGTAAAACTATTTTAACAACTTTGATGTTGTCCTCTGAAGAAACTAAAAATTACAGCAACACGGAAAATACAGATTTTACCTTACTCTTCCATTTCCACAACCACATTCCAGCACCACTTCGCGGTGCTGCAAAGACCAATACGTTATTGTCGTCAATCTAAAAACCGCACAGGTGAAATACACACCAGGAATATCTCTAAATGTACTATCTGAAGCCCAAAAGCATTGGAAGGTACATATTTCAGATATAGCACCATTTTTGCTCGCCTGTTGGTTACGACCTAGTGTTAGCCACAGAGCAGAACCTGCGCGGCCTAGGGAGACTGCAACGCCTGGCGTCGATTTTTGTTTCCAAGATATGCGAGCACACATGTTCACACCTGTGCCACATAATCTGTACCACTTATCAATTCTGATGAAATGGTGAACATATCCAGACAAGCATGGTTTGGACATGTCCATACACATTGTTGACACATTTTGATCTTCAATTTACCTTCACAGAATCCTTGCTGGGCTTTATACAACCCACAGAAAAATTCTGACAACATTTCCGAGTTCTATCTATTCAAAAGAGTTCACTAGACCATCATAAAATGCCTAAAACTCACAATTTATTTGTACAGTCACTGAGCACATGATTCTGTCAGTTTATTCATTGTAAACTTAAGGCAGAATTAATCTTGCAGTAGCATCAGGCCATTTTCCAGTTTGAGATGGTAAAAATGTGAAAAAAACATGTTCTCAATGGCAAATGGACCATATGCAGCAATGTTTGGAGGGGACCCTTTTATCTTTACCCTTTACCTAAGGGACATAGGGCCCTTTACCAAACCTGTGCTCCCCTTGCCAAGCCTCTGGCTGTGCCACTGCTAAGGCCCCATCTGCCAGCAGTCAGCATAGAGGCTCCAAATCCAAAGACTTTTCTCATTGGCATTATGAGCTGTTTGATGCAAATTTAAACAATAAATTTTGACGAGTAAAATGCAATGCAAAATGTTGGATGGTATATTCAGTGATACTGGCCTTCCTCAGAGGTGATTAAACAGCCTTATAAACATGGACAAGATAGTCAGAAAAATCAGGAAAAACCCTAATCATCAGACTACTGGCCCCCAGAGTAATGAAGAAGTTGGCTGCATGATTTCAGACAGGATCGGATCTGCCCTAGCATTGGAACTGGTCTGCCACCTAGAGAAAGGACAATCACAGGTCTTTTATTCCTGTAGTCTTTTACTCACAGGCTTTTGCTAGGCTGCATTGCCTTACAGGACACAAGCAAAATACTAGGAAACACACTGTTATCTGGTCACATATATATCACAATGAATTAATTGCTACATGCAGTGTATACATGGCCGGTATTTCAATGCATAACTATGATGTATTAATATTTTAGCCGAGCCACTGTTGCGTTTTTCGAGCAAGAGCAAATAAAAACTTGGCATAGTCAATAGTCAGCTCACTTGTACACCAGGTTCAATGCATTAATGTCATGCTAGTATAACATGGCGGAAAACCATAGCAACGCCAGTTCTTTTCAGTCTCACTTCAGGTTCTAGATGATCTCCATCAGACTTTTTGCTGGATCCCTATACTGCAGGACAGCCGTCCATGCAATTGCCCTGGCAGACCAATGCGATGGATCTTATCTTGGATTAGGGCGCATAGACCAAGGCGATTAGCAGACAACAAAGCTGTCTGTGTTTGACCCCGGTGCGTAGTAATTGTAACGCTTTCGAAACGATGCTTCCAGATTACTGCCAAATCATTGGAAATATTGGCCGTCCCAAAAATGAGCAGCGGAACGACATCGAAAACGCCCACCCATTTTACGTTGTTTCCATTTTTGAGACTTGGCATGCGCATTACCCTTTCTTTGAAGATGAGAAAGCTCTTATTCCCATCTCTCAGGCAATGCTTTTCACTGCCATGAAATGTTTTAAGAAGGTAATATTCTTCAATGTCGTTAAAATCAATGTCAGTTTCATCCAGATCATTTGTCCAATTTAAAACAAAAAGTGAGGTCAGTTACTTTTGTTAAGGATTTTCTTTTTTCATGTCCCACATCAGCACGACAGAAATTATTTTTGTGACATAGAGCTACCTTGTGTGTGTGTGCGTGCGTGCGTGTGCGTGTGTGCGTGTGTGCGTGTGTGCGTGTATGCGTGTGCGTGTGTGTGTGTGCGTGTGTGTGTGTGCGTGCGTGTGTGTGTGCGTGTGTGTGTGTGTGTGTGTGCGTGCTTGCGTGCGTGCGTGCGTGCGTGCGTGCTGTGACATTGCTCTTAACGCAAGTCAGTCGCTTACATACGCGATCACATACAAGAACATTCTCTCAAAAGTTCGTGACTCTACATCCAGCACGGACCGAGATGCATCCCACCGATCATTTACAGCTAAATCACTGAACATCCTCCACCTACGTGGAGGATGCTCTGTGGGGCATAACAAACATGCAGAGAGTACTTTCCAACAATTATCAACAAACTCATAACACGCTGCGCATTGAGTACACAAACGAAAACATGGTGTGCGCTTGGCTACATTCGCTGTGCACTCATAACTGTAGGAACAAGGGGTGGAGAGGAGGGACAGGGGCTATGTTTCGGGGTGGGTGACAGCAATGCTGACTGCCCCCCCCCCCCCCCCCCCCCTGCACTTTCAGGTTTGATTTGCATTAAGCTTGCTTTAGCACTACGTATCCTGCATTTATTGACAATGAGCGCAGGATACCGCCGCAGACCAGTGCCCTGCCAAGCCTAATGATATCGATGGTTCGCGCCTTTTGCGCTGGCTCCGTTTTCGCTAACTGTAATCTGAAGGTTATCATTCATGTTACCTTAATCGCAACATTTTTTCCAGGTTTATTCAGCTATAGATACGCATCATAATTTTCAGCATGTAGCATCTTGAGCGGTTAGCGAGATAGAAGTAACTTTTTATCAAAGATTCAGATTGATAATAAACTTGCACTCCTGGTTCTAGTCAATCTAAGACGCGTTGATTATTTATACAGCATTTTGGCAATACGGCTCCCATGGAAATATATATATATATATATATATATATATATATATATGTATATATATATATATGTATGTATGTATATATAGGCTAGTTCTTTGCAAAAGGTCTGTAACAGTACTTTGGAATATCGAAGGCGTATAATAATTTTTGGTCTTCGCCTTATAAGCAGACGGGAGGATGAGGGAAGAGTATTTATTTTTCGTATTGCTCTACTGTTCATCTGTCTGGAGGACCGCCTAAAAGTTGTAAAAGAGTCACGCCCAGTCTTATCTTTAAACGATGTAAATCAATTGTGAGGGACCTTCGGAACCATTATTTCACGAAGGCTGTTTCGCGCGGGGTACGTGGTGTTACTTGCAGCGGCCAACGCCGTTCAGCTTTACGGAAACTGTAACCCAAGCCATCGCTGCCCTTGCTCCCGAGATTTCGGGTGCACAGGCTTAAACCTTTCGATGTAATAGGTTTCACTAATCGATTCTGCAACAAGGATGAACGTTCTCAGGCAAACATGGAATGGCCCTATTGGTTTTAAACACATTTAGATCCACTCCTTGCAACGGCAGTAAGGCCGTTTATTTTTTCGGGCAAGGGGATCTCTTAAGTCGAATATTAAGAGGCACATTAATGCCCTCGGTCAGGAGCTAAAGGATCTTAATGAAACGACCCCCAAGGCTCAAACTGACACGGAGACAACTTTGCTCTTGCTGACCGAGAGACTCGCATTGTCTCGATGCGTCCTCAAATGGTGCAAGAGAGCCTCTTACTGATATTTCAGGTCACGACCCTACAGGCCGCGATTCTTCATGTGACCTACAGCCAGTCCTTCAGGCCTTTGTGCCATCCAACCGACCTCTTGATCGTCGGTTCCGCTCGGCAGCTCGGCAGCTTCAGTTCGACCTCTCGGCCTCATCGAACATTGACCTTGGCCGGCTCGGGCCCCTTGCGAACACAGGATCTTCTGTTAGGCATTGCGGGCCCCTGACAGATACAGGGGCCCCGAGGAGCATAAATCGCTGGCCCGGCTTTGTAGCTGATTGGAAAGTGCACCCCCAGGCCCATGTCGACAAGGGGCTGATTGTGCAGTACTGGTGGTGTCTGACCGACATATAGACCCATTTCGACTCAGGGGGTCCCCGAGCAGCACAAAGGGCGCTCAGACTGTCATCTGAGGACTCGTCACAGCAGGCTGGTGCCCCTGAATAAGACCCGACCAGCACTTCGTGCCCTCATGCCCTCTAACTGGGCCCTTGATCGACGGTCCCGGTGGGCTCTCCAGGCTCTTCGGGCTCCCTCGAACACTGTCTCTGGCTGACTCGGGCCCCTTGCCAACACAGGACCATGTTTGGCGTTGTGGGACTCCTGGCAGACGCTGTTGACCCGACCAACGTGAATCTCTGGCTCCTGCTGGGTCCTCAGGCCCAAGCCGATACGGAGCCCACTGTGCGTAAGTGGTTGTGTCTACGGACATATCTGCCCTCATCGACTCAGGGTGGTTCCGATCAGCGCGCGGGGCCCCCTGGATAGTAGTGAAGTGCCCGGCCGGCAAGGTCGGGCCTCTGAATGCGAATTCCGGTTGGCCTTCCGTGCCGTCAGATTGGGCTCTTAACCATGGGTCTCGAGGGGCCTGAAGGGCCCCTCGAAACCTAAGAAGGGGGGGGGGGGCACATGCCCATTGTGCCCTATCCCCCGCCTGCACTACTGGTTCATACTGATAATTTGGAACGGGGTCATGCGCTCCATTTCAACTAGGGGTCATTAAGTCGAACTGAAGCCTCTGTGCCAATTGTTGGACCGCCTGCGGCGATAAGGGATCTTGTTGCGTCAATGATGGCTTCTGCGCCGATCTGGGGTCAAGTGCCAGGGTCAAACTTACATCCCCCGCCATCTGACGCCTGGCACGGTAGGGGGAGGACCAATGTATGATTTACATTACTATGGGCCTCTGGATCGACCCCCCGAGGGGGCCCCGAGTTTGCCCGTAAGTCAATAAGTGGCCACAAACCCGCGGAAAGTGCAGACTAGGTAGCAGTGCCCTCAACTTTGCCGAGGTGTTTTCCCTCTATTTTTAGCATAAAACGCAAGTTCTTCGCACCCTCCCCACACCAAGGCAGTTTGTCAGGTCAGGCGGTCCCTCCGAGCCCCGGGAGGTGGCTACACACATGAGTTTACACCAATGGCATCCGACGTATGCTTGTTTCTCACGCAAATGGTGCTTTTCAACAGATGCATAACTGTACGGGTCGCTGATCGAGATGTCGCCAAGCGGCTAAGCAGAAGACCAGTTCTTGGAAGAAGCGGTTATGCAGAAGACCTGTTTGTGAAAGAAGCGTCTGCAGCTGTAAAACAAGCACCCTTGGAAGAGGTGGCGGGTGGGGTGAGATCACATGTGGAGGATGCTGTCATCAGTCTCCGCAGGAGTGATGTTTTATCCCAGGTCGTGGCATGAGTGGTCTCATTTTTCATCTTTTTCCATCTTTATCAAAAGTGACCCCAACTGAGAAACGTTATTGACTGGGCTGGTGGCGACTGACGGAGATCTACGATGATGCTTAGACCGTTTTTTAGGTGTTTTGTTTTTTGGAAGGCAGCTGCGGAGTTATGTGACACCGCAGCAAAGTATGCCCAACCCAGGCTGATGGTCTCTGATGTTGGCTTATGATAAATACGGTGTAATATTCTTATTTTCCCTCAGACATCTGTCGAGGAGTTAAGAACAGATTAGTCAATGGAGCGTTTTGCCATCAGGATGTACCACTCTTGGTAAAATTGTACACGATATGAAAACATATATGGGGTGTTTTACCGTCCCAAAAAGCGAGCGCAAAATTAATCTAGGCGGAAGCCACGGGCGGAATTGCCAGCAATGTACGAATGCAACAAGCACGATAAGCATTCCAATTATTCAGTACGAGGTACAGAAAATCCCTTGTTTTGGAGAAACCAGTACCGGGGAACCCCTTGCACCGGCTCTGCACGCACAAGTAGATTCATTGCATCCCAGCAGCAGGCCCCAGTCAAATGCTGGTATGCTTAGTCAACGCTCGTAATCTCTATTACTATTTTCCTGGTCACTTTACGTACATCTTGTTTACCCGACAAGTTAACACGCTAGTCAGAGACGGCGAGGAGACACCCGGGAAAACCACAGGAGACAAAATTGAGAGGAGACCAAAACGTGAGTCGTCTCTCCCAGCTAGCATCGCGGCCAGGTCGGGGCTCCCAGTCGCCGGTCTGGGCCCGTGGAAAGTCGCAGCAGGGACGGTGTAGGGCGGCTGGGACGCAGCCGTCCGACCCCGTGACGTCACAAGCGGTGAAGCAATGGTCACCGACCCTGGAAAATGGCGACCCTAGCATCGCACTCGTTCCGGACGAAACAGGTTGGACAGCATTGTGTTCTGACAAAGTCCGCACTCAGGGAGCTGAATACGCTCCGCATTTGTCTGATAGCAACATGTGTGGGTTTTCTGCCGATTGGGGTGCGGCGCACGTTATGAGGCGCGCGCGCAGACCGTGCGCCCCCCCCCCCCCCCCCACGGTACTAGATATTACCCTCCAACACCCAAATGAGCATGGCTGTCAGCAGTTGATCCCGTCAGTGGGTAACGGTATGAGCTGGCG